TCTTTGCTACCAGAGCAAATGTTTCTTGGTAATACATCCCATATATTTGAATATATCCCTTAACAACCAGCTTTGCCTTGTAGCGTTTTAGAGATCCATCCTCCTTAAATTTTACTGCAAACACCCACTTACAGCCCACTGGTTTCTTACATTTAGGTAAATCAATCAATTCCCAAGTTTCATTCTTTTGTAATGCATCCATTTCTGCCTCCATAGCAAGTCTCCATTCTCTCTTTGATAATGCTTTAGACAATGAGTTAGGAATAGGACTTGTGTTAAGGGTTTAGAGAAAACTTTGATGGCTTGGAGAGAATTTCTGAAAAGTCACAAATTGAGATGTGGGATCTATTGTCCTTTTTGTGCATTCTCGGGTTTGTTTTCTCAAGGCTATAGGCAGATCTAGATTAAAGTTAGGTTGATCGTTGTTGAAAAGAGAATCTACTTGTGATATAGTTAGATTCGGTTCATAGATTGTTATCTCATTTTCAGGAGTCAGTTTAGTGAATTGTTTCTGCCTTGCAGCCATAATAGGATTTATTTTCCTTGTATACACCTGATCAAACCGGAAATGATCAAAGATTTTTCCATCTGCTTATTAGTTTTCTTGTGACTGTTTAGACTGTAATTGTGAAAGAGACATTGATGCTGAAAGCCCATTTTGTGATTTATGTGACTCGGGTGAGGGCATTTCTAGTGGTGGCAGACTTAACTCTTTATCTTCAAGTATAGGCAACTCTCCCCTGAAGATAAGGAGTAAAAAAATATGGTTTATTTTCAATAAAAGTAACATCAGCTGAGACATAGAGCTTCTTATTGGGAGGATGATAGTATTTATAATCCTTTTAAGTTGAGGAGTATCCCACGAAGACACACTTAATAGCTCTAGGATCTAGTTTCTCTCTGTTATAGCTAGAACGTGAACGAAAGAAGTGCACCCGAATACCCGAGTAGTAAGATTGAAGAATTTTCGAATGTCAGGTTAGGACTGAGATAAGATTTCGAGTGGACTTTTAAACCCCAAGATTTTGGAAGGAATTCTATTTATGACATAGGTTGATGTGAGGACAGCTTCTCACCAAAAAGATTTTGGTACATTTTGTTGGAACAATAAAGCTCTAGTACACTCAAGAAGATGTCGATTTTTCCTTTCTATCATTCGATTTTGTTGTGGAGTGGTAATGCAGGATGATTCATGTATCCCCTCGTTTTGAAAATAGAGGATCAAAAATTGGTTGAAATAATCACAAGCATTGTCGGATCGAATACTCTTTATTTTTGTATCAAACTGATTTTGAATCATTGCATGAAAGGTAGGAAAGATACAGCTCACATCAGATTTATTTTTGAGCAAGTATATCCAGGAGACGCTTGTACAATCGTCAATAAAACTCATAAACCATCTATGGCTTAAGATACTTGGAATAGTGGATGGTCCCCAAATGTCACTATGTATCAAAAAGAAGGGAGATGATGATCTATTATTACTGATTGGAAAAGGTATATGAGTGTGTTTTGCATACTTACAAATATCACAATGAAAAGATTGAACATCTAAACCCTTGAACAAGGTAAGAAACATTATTTTCAATGTGGAAAAGGACATATGACCTAGACGCCTATGATGTAGCCAAATAAAATCTGTACTGGAAGAAGAAAACAATGAAAACAAAGCTAGTTTGTTCAATTCCGGTTGACTTGGTGTATTTCGATAATAAAAGTCCAATATGCTCCTTAGCAAGTCCAATCCTCTTCCCCGACTCTTGGTCCTAAAATTCACGATAGGAAGCATTGAATATAATACAACCAGTTAGATCATGGGTAAACTTTTGTATTGAAATCAAATTTGTTGAAAGTTGAGGAACATGGAGAACATTTTTAAGTATTAGATTTGGGGTGACTTGAACATCTCCTACTCCAGCTACTATGG